AGTGCAAAGAATGACAATGTTTTATATGTATATTTGGTCTTTTTTTAGTTTGGTGCAATTGCGGGAGATAAAATAACTTCAATCAGCAATTGATCCCGAATCAAGTATCTAATTAAACCTTGTTTAGCTGCCTTTAGAGTGAATTGAACGTTTTAACCAGTGTATAGTTTTTGCGCTCCTTTTATAAACATCATCTTCATGGTGACCTGAAGGGACGCCACGAAAAAATCTTCGACTACTTACACAGGTTAAAATATTTGATGTTAATGTAAATAGATAACTTGCTTTTTATGATAATTTTCTTTTAACGCGAACAAAAGCCTTAAGGAGGCCAGACACGACGGATCATGTTGCAGGGACATGTTTCAGCGACATGTTGCAGCGACAAAAAAACTTGCGTAGTGCACACTTAGGCGACATGTAGCAGGGACGTGTAGTGGGGACATGTAGCAGGGACAAAATCACAACATTTGCACACACATGAAAATGTTGCGGGAACATTTCCCAGGGATATGTTGCAGCGACATGTCCCCTCGTGTGAACGGACTGACCGCATGGTGCAGAGTTTTGGTAATGCCCAGCATGCTTTGAGACACTACATGTCGCCTCAATGTGTACTACACACATTTTTGTCGCTGTAACATGTCGCTGCAACAAGTCGCTGCAACATGGCCCCGCAACATGACCCCTTGTGTCTGGCCACCTTTATAGATATGTGTTGTTTCAAGGTGTTGTGTATCTTTGCTAAACAACTGAACTAATTTGTTAATGACAACTCATGCCACCCATTTAGACTGTAAAAAAACAAACAAACAAACAAACAAACAAAGCAAAAAAAAGAAAACTTTTAATCATTGTCGCTCTCAATTTCTCATTCTGTTTTTGCTAAGATGATTTTTTTTTGTTTTTTGCTATTTTAATTTTTTTTTTCCATAGCAAGGAAGATATCTTCATGTTAGGGCGATTTCGTGACAAATAGGCGCGCAGACAACCAATCATAATCGAGAATTTTGGCAAAGACACGATTATATACAAAAGTGGGTAAAGAAAACACAGCCGTTCAATCGTTCAGCTAGTTTTATCCTGCCAATTCGGTAATGATCCCTGTATTCGGACAAGACTGTCTAGCAGTTTGCCACAGACTTCAAATTTCCTATAGATATCACTTGGACGTTTAGACACAAGCGCTATCATATTCTGTGGGTCATGAAAGCTAAAAATAAGGGTTTTAGCGACTTTCGTTTTGTATTATTTGAGTAAAGACAGTAACAAGTTAGCAATATTCACGGCAACAATTCTCGCTAAATTTTCCAAACATCCCATCTCAACGTTCGCTCATGAGATTACCGTGAACACCGCTAAGCAAACTAATTGTATGAATTGCGTCGCTGGCTCTCTATCCCATCTATGAACCACCAGGCCCGTAAAGCATCACGTCACTAACATTCTCCACTCCGTTACGTTTAATGTATGACCGGAATGTTACTGGCAGCCTATCTGCTTTTCATTACGTTTCTGTATTCACAATACAATACAGTAAATTTGTCAGATAGTCCACACATGCAACCTTAATTCGTGTCATTGTTTTTGTTGATTAAAAGACTTTAAGATTAATAAAATAAGGAAGCACAACAGAATTTGGCAAATTTACTTCATAATGAAACTTAGCGAAAAAAAAAAAAAAGAAAGAAAGAAATCGACTACAAAGCAAGAGTCCTCTTAGCCCCTAGTGAAAACAGATTGGGCATCCGCTTAAGAGAAAATCATTCTTTTAGCGGATCGTGAGATGGTGAAGCGCAAAAACAAACGAACAGTCCGCAGGGAAGAAATCGAGACTACGGTAAACACAAATTCAACTCATTACGTCTGCAGAATTGCGAAGAAAGTTTACTGTGTTTATCAAGCCATTGCATTACACAAGGACTAAACGTTATTTACATGTTTGTATTTGTGATTTTTGGTTACAAATGGAAATAACATCCATGCATAATCGACTCGGTATAAACCTGTCTTATCAATGTAAAGACCTCATCCTGCCGTAGCATTTCGAATAAGTAACAATCTCTGTTACTTTCGGCGTAAGCTATAGTAAAAACCCGCGTGTAAGAACCTAGTGGTTTAAGAACCTGTAGGCAGAAATTTGTCATTTTTGTACCCACAAATATAAGAACCTGTTTAGCCAAGCAAGATCAAGCAGGTTCTTGGGTTACAGTCAAGTTTATTTTATTATTATTTTTTTTTTTTGGCTGTCAACAACTGTATCTCCTTCATAGACATTAAGAACCTAATTATAATAAACTACTTCGCCCAAATTGGCAAGAACAAGAACCTATTTTGTCAAACTCTCAAAAAGTGTAAGTCCTTACACGCGGTTTTTTACTGTATTTTTCAGAAGTCTTATTTTTAAATGTAACAACTGCAGGGAAAAATCTACCTGCAAGTGAATCTCTGCAAGTGCAAAAATGCTTATCTAACTTTACAGTTTTCCAGTTTCCATCTGAACTAAAACTGAGTGCTCGAGTTAATCAAATTCGGCACTTTTTTAAGGGCCGAAAGAAATGGCTGCTTGGCATAGGGTGGGGATCGTTACTTTCGGAACTCACGACATGATACACGAGTCCTCTGTTTAACAAATTGACGTCAGTTTTTCATGCGTCTGCCCTGTTATTGTCAAAGTAGTTTGCGGATCCACTCAGCTATCACCTTGTGGATCCACAGCTACTTTGACAATGTTATGACGAAATTCATTGTTAATAACAGGACAGACGCATGGAAAACTGACGTCAATTTGCTTTTTACAATAACAAATTGTCAAATTGACCGTCTTCGCTCGTTCACGCATCGAATAAATTGTGAATTCATGTCCCTGTTTGCTTATTGACAATGAAAATTAGCCAATGAGTGAGCGAGAATTTCTGCGTTTATCGTAAAATTATCTACGTTTTATGTAACATCAACCATTTTCTTATTGTCAATTAAGTACATGCCCAGTCAAACAGCTGCTAATTAAGAGACTGTTACTTTACGGCGATGTTACGGCCACTAGTTAGAATATCTGGTACTGGCACCCATTGTTGGACACTTAAGTTTCATCACGTATTTCTGCCGAATATTAAGCACTCTTATTTCGATTTTTCTTCCAGCTAAATTCTAGGATATTAGTTGGCTATTAGCATTCGTTTTCATTTTATTTTAGTGGTATCTTTTGAGAGAAAATTCGCGTAACGTAAGTTGGCTTAAAAGACCAATTGTCGTGTAGCAACTAGAATTTTCTTTGCGTTTGAGTTTTCACATTTCTCCGTGACCCCTGGGGATTATGTAACCTACTCGTTAATACTTAGCGATCATTGTTATGCATAGTTTTGTATTCATTTTCGTCAGTGCTTGTTAGCTGCTGGCAGATAAGTTTTACTGGTTCTTACCGCGTTTTCTTGGCTGCATTTCACTGTTGGGAGCTTTGAAGTATTATTCTAAGAGTTTATCCTGTTGGACAGTCGCCACAGTTTGTAAAATTATTTTACTCCGTTATCAGTTTTTTGTTGTTATGTTTTTGTACTTAGGTATTTTGTCTCGTTTATTTTTCAGCTGAATCACACACCCATAATTACGCTTATTCACTCTCGCGCTTATGCGCACCATGATTAAAACCTGTGCATTCAAACTGTGACATGGATTTCTGTAGCGTTTATACCTACAGTCGGACATAAAACCTATTGTCGGACGCCTAAAAATTTGTCTAGCGAGTGGCTTATTTATGCTGAAAATAATAATGACAGCCAAAAATGCTCACTAGCTCACCTGACAAAGTGATTAGTGGTGGCGTGTTAATTTACGAAAATGTTTTTACCGTAACAATCCAATATCAACTCTTTAAAAAATCTCGTGAACGATCGTAAATTCGTGAATCCAAACGCCGTGTTTACTTGAGTTTGTATGGGATCTCGGCGGCTCTCCGACATCAGGTTTTCGTGGCCTAGTTATAGCGGTTCGACTTTACAGCGATTAAATTAATAAAGTTTTCTCGGGAAAGTAAATATTTCTTGCTGCTATAAATAGATTAAAGATATGAGAATAAAATATCTGGGATTCAATGCAGAAAAACACCAAATCGCCATTTGGTGTGGGACACCATGAAACGCATACAAATGTTTGTATTTGGAATTTTCAAAATTATATATTCATCACAATGACAATCTGTTCTCTCGCATTGAAATGAATGGAATAAATACGCTTGTGAAATATTGCAAAAAAATTACACTAAAAGCGGACTGCTAGCCGCCCCAAATATTCAAAATTTTCAACTGCCGTTTTATAAACCCAAAAGCGCTGTTATATCGGGAGAGCTATACTTTTAATATAGTCACGGTAAATGAAAGAGAAATAACATTTGTACGCAATTCTCCGCTAATTTGTAACGATAATATTTGTAACGTGTAATTAATATGACCTGTTATTAATTTACCAATCAGTGAATTATAAGGGTCCCAATAGGATTTACTATTAAAAGACTTTTAAACTTAAAATGAAATTTGAACCAATATGAAATGCCCTCATTCATAACAAACAAACAAACAAACAAACAAACAAATAAAACAAAACAAAACAAAACAAAGCAACATCAAACAGCCCAAAATTTTACCGTCGACCGTCAAAACGACACCTTTAACTGTGAGACCCATTGAGACTCTCTGCTATTTACTGGCGAAATAACTAGTTTACAAACTGTAAAAAGCAGTCTGGATTACCAATAATATCTCGCATACAGAGCAAATCAAAATGTTAACAACCGCCAGAGCTTGTCCTTAATATAGTTCGCCGGTAATTATCCAAGCCAGTCCCTTATCGAGACAGAAAAAACCGGCGTCCAACGCTATGACCATAGTAGGCTACAGGCGATTCCCATCCCTTTCACCTCCACCCCGGCCTCCCCCCGAAAACAAATATCAGCAGAGGCCGACTTGTTAAAGTTACAAATGATCATTTCCCAACAACAACAACAACAACAACAACAACAACAACAGTGAAAAAAAAAAAAAAGAAGAAGAAGAAGAAGAAACCAAAACTGAGATCAAAATTAGTTAGATGCAGATACTTGTAAGAGAAAATAAATCAATGAAAGACCAAATAAATAACTGTCAACAAGTTTAAGTCTTGTTCACTAGTGAGTATAAATTAGTTGAGAACGTGAATGAAGGGATGTTAGGGTAAATCAACCAAGATAAAACACTTCCACTTCATCAGGTGTGAATTTGTTAGTCCCAGCCAGGATTGTGTGCGGGTCTTGTACTCTACTTGGAACAGAGTAAGAGTGACCAAAGTTTGTGTAGGAGTCAGTGTTACTGTTGGCATTGTCAGCAATGTAGATGTCATACCCTGCACCAAATGTTGGACCATGACCTGAGCCCCTGTAAATTGCATACACTGAACTCGTCACCATGCTCTTGAACGGTTCAAGATCTTCTTTGTTGCGAAGTGAAAAGATGAACGCATTGGAAGTATAACTCCAGGCACTGTTATTATCTGAATAACAAGAACAACACATCAAGAAAAAAAAAAAAAAAAAAAAAAAA